GGCTCAGTCGAAAAAAAAAAAAAGGTTGCCCACCACTGACCTAAGGCTATGATTGTGATTATGACTATACACTGTGGCCCTGATTAACCCTTTGCTTACTGGGCCCTTAAACCCCCTTCATGACCAGAGCGTTTTTTGCAATATATGCAGTGTCGGATTTGTTTTTTCTAATGTTGCAATGGTTTTGCGGCTCCCAGTCTTTTTTTCCCTCTCGGAAATGGGTCCAAGTGGCTCTTTATGTCTTAAAGGTTGCAGACCCCTGGCCTAGGCAATTGGAAAGTTGTCCTCCCCCCTTCCTCCCCGTAGTCTTCTGGGAAACGTGACAGGTCCCAAAAGTCTACAGAACCATTCACAAGGAGTAGAGCTACTCACGCACGCACAGTGGGCACCCGGCTGTGAAGCTGCAAGCTGTCCCAGCCGGGTGCCCACACTGAAGATGTTGGCACCGGGGAGAGAAGAGGGCCGGTGAGGACTGAGGGACAGGTGAGTGTCTGTATTTTAGAAGTCAGCAGCTACAGTTTTTGTAGCTGCTGACTTTTTTTTTTTTATTCAATTGGAACTCCACTTTAATTTTAAGGGATTTCCTCTTACTTTCTATTTGGCTATGGGACAGGAAATGAAGGGAAATCTTCGCAATGGGACACAGATGGCAGAAAAAATATCTGACAGGGGTTATAACCCTCCTTTACTCTGCTGAAAATGAAATAAAAAAGTTTACCTATAATTCTACTTTAACCAGCTTCCACCTGGCCAATAGCAAAATGACAGCCGAGTGGGACATTTGTCGATCGCACACACCTGCGGAGCCATGCTGCGGCGAGATCTGTCATCGGCTGTGTCCATTCATTTCATGCCATCCATTGTATACAATTGTTGCTAGCTGTATCAGTGATCACATGGTGCAGAGTGGGCCAATCACAGCCCATTAGTGTCATGTGGTTAGCTGTGGCCAATCACAGCTAATCTCAACAAAAGACACTGAATTAATTTATTTCATTCAGATAAATGCTTGCCTATAGCAGAAACATTCACTGCTACAGACAATCGTAATTTGTAAAAAAAAAAAAAAGAAAAATACTGATCACTACCCCAGAGTAGTACAATGTTACTATGGTAACATTATTTTACTCTGGTCATAGTGTTTTAGAAAAAAAGAAAAAAAATGTAATAAAAAATTAAAAAAAAACATTTTTTTTTCTATACTGTCACCAGCCAGTGTAACTGCCACACCAATCATAGGATGACGCTGTACTGCCATGGTGACAGTATGTAAAAAAAAAATGAAAACTTTTTTTTCCATTTCTTTATTTTCCAAAAAATTGTGACAACAAATTACAGCTTCAAAAAAACTCACCATGCCTCTTACTTATACATGCAGACTGTCTACTTTACAAAAAAGGGTCATTTGGCGGTATTTGTACTGTCCCAGCGTTTTTGAGCCTTAAGAAATTAGATAGGCTGTCAGTACATCAGGACTGATCGATTTTCATATATATATATATATATTATATATATATACCTTTTTGATATTAATATTGAAAATATGGGGTATATGGGGTACGATCTAGATCCTACCCTCTCCTTTTTCTTTTCTCCAGCAAAACTACTAAGTCCATCATACTATTCAGGGTTTGATGAGGACCAACCAATACCACAAATTCAATTGGCTTAGTATTTTCATGCAACTATGTAGAGCAAGTGCATTGTTCTATACCTTTTGCAATCTGCTAACAAATGTATCTATGGCCAGTGTTTCCAGAATTTAAAGGTGTCCTGTTTCTATTAGATTGCGATGTTATCATATGGTGCTGACTCCCTGGTGTGCCTCCATATCTGGACACCCATTCCTGCCGCTGCTGCCATTCGCACTGCAGCAAAACGCCTGGGCAAATGTAGCCATATGGTTCCATGTGCCAAAGCATTCTATAATGTGACAAGAAACTTTTGTCCTCCATCATGAAATGCATACAGTAATTGCTTTTAAGTAGATAAAGGGGTTGATGTACTTACCCTAGTTTCAGACCTATGCGGCCGTGCGGGCTGTGTTTTGCTCGGGCACGAGAGCCCATTCGTTTGAATGGACTCCTGTGCCTGTGACATGCAGGGAAAGAAGTCCCTGCACTACTTTGGAAAACGCAGACTGCATGGGAACCTCGGTTCCTAGTACGGTTGCGTTTCCCAGTGCGGGCGGCGTGCCATTAGAACTAGAACGAGCATCTCCGACGGGGAGGAAGATTGTTTGTAAACAAACCAATCTTCCTCCCCGTCGGAGATGCTCGGTAATCACTGGGCGCCGGTGGGTAATTACCGTCCGGGACCCGGTAATTGACATCTGCAGCCCCCTAACCGGAAATGCAAAATCACATATATATACGTGATTCTGCGCACATGTGCCGCCCTGTAGCAGTATATCTGCTATAGGGCGGTCCTTAAGTGGTTAAAAACAAAGGTAAATGGAGCCTGACTATAGCTCAGTAATAATGTTTGTGTCCAGAATAGGATAAGCAATCAGAAGCCTAAGTTTAATTGTTAACCTTTACAGCTCATGTCCTAGACCCAAATCATAGAAATGTGTGCATATACAGTAAATCTCTTAGTCTCAATGACTAGGTTTAATGCTTATACTAAGCTGTAACAAAAATGAAAATATCAAAATTCTGAAAGAGTCAGAAATTCTTATTTTTTAATTTGCTCCAGTAAAGTGTTGCATAATTGCAGCAAATGACTATCTCAGACCCAACAATTGTCTGTTCGGGGCCCCAAACACTGCACTGATAGAAGATGTGGGGGTTTCACATGTTCCTGAAACCTCCTTTTTGTGATGCACTCAGACTATGAGTCAGCATAGGGAACATAAGTAGCTGTTGCAGCAGAGTGGCTAAGTGGTTAGCGCTTCTGCTTGGCAGCCCTAGGGTTGTCAGTTTGAATCCCAACCATAACACCCACCTGCCTGGAATTTGCATGTTTTCCCTGTGCGGGTTTCTTCCCACACTCCAAAGACATGCTGGTAGGTGAATCGGCTTCTGTCTAAATTGGCCCTAGTATGTGTATGTATGAATGTGAGTTAGGGACCTTAGATTGTACGCCCCTTGAGGGTTAGGGACTGATGTGAAATGTACAATATATATGTAAAGCGCTACGTAAATTGACGGTGCTATATAAGTACCTGAAATAAATAAATCTTGCAGACAGCCATGACACCTTCTCCTTAGAAACATCTAAAAGGTAAGAACTATTGAAAAAGAAAAATGTAGGCATGCTGTGTGAATGGGAACATACATCAATCATATAGTGGGGGGTTCTCAAATTTGACTGCATAAGTGGAAATACACTCTCATAATTAAATGTTGTACAAAAATCTTTCTGGTATTACAAACACAATGCAATTTCTATGCTGACATACAATGAATTTGAGAAAATTGCCAAGGTACAGCCAGACCTGTTATGGTAGGGTCAGCTAAAAGGAATCAAGAAGCCCCTCTGCTTGATTAGCAACATAGTGGTGCCTTCTGAAAGCTGAAGATATTTCCATGTCAAGCTTCCATCACAGATCCATCCCTAGTATGAATGTGAGTTAGAAACCTGAGATGGTTTGCTCCTTGAGGGAGCATACAATCCCAATGATATGTTCATCCAGAAGCCTGATCCTCTGTTATATAACCTGGGGCCACTGAAAAGACAGCACAGCAGGATCTGTTGAGCAGGAGGACCGGCTGTACTGCCTGATTGCTGATACTGATCCTCCTGTGGCTCCACCTACAGCACCACTGGCCTCTCCTCCTCTCCCACCTGGCTGTGCCACAGGGAATTGGTTCTAGTATTTGCACCTCTCCCCCCGCCACTTTTATAACCCTCACCCCCTCCTGTTTCCCCCCCGCCCCCCTTTCACCTGCTGTCTGAGTTCCCCTGTGTGCCCTCTCACCTTGCAGTACTGCTGGCCTCCCTCCACTCCTTCCCTCCTGGCAGCAGCTTCTGAGGTCACACGGGCGGGGATCAAGATTTCAAGATGGAGAGTGGGGGGGCAAGGTAAACTGTGTGCTCAACTATGCAATTGTAACGCTCCCCCTCTCCCACGGGGCAGTTAAAGAAAATGTTTAAAAAAATTAAATCCTAAAAATGTATAAAATAACAAAAATTCTAAAAAATTATTTTTAAAAATGAATGGCTCGTTCACATGTGCTTTGCTGTCTGAAGAGCGGACAGCGCTGCCACCTGTTTTTAGCCCAGCACTAGTATTAGCAAAACCTAGAATTTGATATTGGAGGGGGGGGGGGGTGTCTGGGAGCAATATGAGGCCCCTAACAACAGCTCCGATGTAACCTCTATACAGCTATGTAAATATATATCTGTTAACCACTTGCCTACCGGGCACTTATACACTCCTTCTTTACCAGGCCAATTTTCAGCTTTCAGCACTGCCCGCACTTTGATTGACAATTGAGCGATCATGCAACATTGTACTCATATGAAATTTTTATCATTTTTTCTCACAAATAGAGCTTTCTTTTGGTGGTATTTAATCGCCGCTGGGCGCTTTACTTTTTGCGCTATAAACAAAAAAAAAAAAAAGTTTCTTTGTTTCTATTATAACATTTTTCAAACAGGTAATTTTTCTCCTTCACTGATGTGCGTTGATGAGGCAGCACTGATGGGCACTAATAGGCGGCACTGATAGGCAGCACTAAAGGGCACTGATAGGCAGTACTAATGAGGTGTCACGGATAGGCGGCACTGATAGGCAGCACTAATGAGGTGTCACGGATAGGCGGCACTGATAGGTGACACTGATGATGGGTACTGATAGACGGCACTGATAGGTGGCACTGAGTGGCATCACTGCTGGACACTGTCTGGCACAACCGCTGGGCACTGACTGGCAGCACTGGTGAGTGGCACTGGTGGGTGGGCACAGGTGGGTGGGCACAGGTGGGTGGCACTGCTGGGCACAGGTAGGTGGCACTTCTGGGCACAGGTTTGTGACACTGCAGGGTGGTACAGGTGGGTGCACTGCTGGGCACAGGTGGGCGGAGCTAGTGGGCGCACTGCTGGGCACAGGTGGGCGGAACTTGTGTGTGGCACTGCTGGGCACTGATCATCAGTGCCCTGATGATCGGTGCCGATCCGTCCTCTAACAACTGCCGGTTCTCGGCAGTACTTTCCTCACGATTTGACAGCGTGAGGAAAGTGCAGCCGAGGACCGGCAATTGCATTTCCCAGTGAAATTGGACACAGCAAGTAGTTAAAATAAGATATCCACTCCCATCTCCGATCCAGCCGCCTAGGCAAATGAGGCTGAAGTCTGCACACTGCACCGCGTTCTGCGGACCGCTTTGGGGGTGTTGTTAACTTAACATACACACCCGCAGCAGTTTGCATGAATAGGATGCAATTCTGATGCGGTACGGAATTCGCACAGAACATGCTGTGAATTTAGTGTGAACCAGAGTTGAATGTGCAGCCGTCACGAGCCTAAGAGAAATGACCTGATATAAAGAACTGTCTTTGGTTGGAGGGTTTGCATAGCAGCCTATGTTATTAGATATATTCCCCTCTCGGGGCCCACAGGTTCATTACTACAATTGTTTATGTGTTGTCAAGAAACTTGAATCCTGTGTGACCCATAAAATAATAATGGATTTTTTTTCCCCCAAAGAACTGAAATGGAAAATGACAGGCTGAGCTTGCTTTTAAATTTTGAGTAAATGATTTAAAGTGTTACTAATCCCACAACAGTAAAATCAGTCTGTATATGCAGTAAAGCATGCTTGTTATACTCAGTGTGGAAACCTAAGGGGTTAATCCTCTGCATTGTGTAAGAAGGCTGTTTGATCCTGACTTCACTGATCCTCCCCTTCTTTCATTATCCCCATCTAACCTCCTGATAAGACATATGTGTGGAGACACTCTGCAAATGCTCAGTTTAGTGTGTATTGGTAGAGAGGTTTTTTTTTTCTTCGCAAAGTGCATGTGACCAGCACAGGGCCAATCAGCACTGTCCAGACAGAGGTGAAGGGTTCTGCATCCTCCTAAAGCAAAATGAAAATTCCTCCTAAAAGCTTCAACCAATGCTCAGCCGGACACTGATAGAAGTCACAAGACAGCTCTAACTGCTGATGAGAAAAGGCATTTAGCAGTTTATATTTACTAAAATAATTGCACTTCCATGTTCTGCGTACTGTAGGAGAGAAGATATAGTGAATGCAGGGTCCTGGGTTTAGCAACACTTTAACTGTTGAATTCAGGGTACATAAATAGTTGCTTCCTCTGGAAGACACTTTGGTTTGTCTAAGAAAAAGGGGAACCCTGTGCTGAGACAAATACATAGGCTGCAAGTGAAAGTTCTGGTTGCCCGGCTGTTATGATAATTTCTTTCTTCACTCTGACCTCACTTGCCGCATTCTTGTTCATGCTCAGTTAAGGCTGAATATTGGCCGGTATCGGCCACTTCAACAGAAACCAGCCAGCGAGTACAGCAGCCTGTCTGACTGAAGCTGCTCTAACATTTGGCTCCTGTCAAATGGCATGCTGGAAAACCAGCAGCCGATTGGCATCTGATCAGTGCTTGCAGCCATTGGCTGCGAGAGTTGACCTGTGTGTTCTTTCCTGACCTGTCACAAGTGGTTGAGGCGCGCGGTAAAACCCCACAGTTGAGCCACTCTTTTATCGCACCCCCCCCAATTGCTACCTATTGTAGCTGCACTGGGGGATGTGCACATGCCACGGCAACAGTACGCATTATAACCCCTGTCATGTTCGTTAGTGTGGGGATCAAGGGGTTGAAGCAGGCAGTGAGAAAGCTCCTCAATGTCCTCTAAAAGTGTTCCAAACCTCAATCACTCTTCAGAGAGCACTGCTATATCAAAATGCTTTGATGAATGCATGTCAATCTGGAGGAGTGGACATTTCTAGGCAGACTGAATTTCCATGAAGAATGCCCAAGGTAATGTCCACATGTGATGCTGGACCTCTGGGATTGAAAGAATGAAAAGGGCAGCCAGGGACAATAAGGCTGCGGAGGAAGGAGCTTGATGATGCTGGATGTCCTCCATCCAGAAATGAGGCAGAAGATTAGGCTGGTGTTCAGTTTTCGGCGTCACTGCTCTGGAATTAGAACACAGCACATGAGTGCAGCAAGTATTGCACAGTTTTACCCATCTCCTCTACTGAAATGGCTTACTCTGATTTCATTGCACACTGTGAATTTCTCAGTGTGCATTAGATGCTGCAGCAAGTCAGATGGAGTCCATTTAATTTTATGGCTGGAGGACGTCCATCATCATCTAGCTCTGTTTTCCCCGGCCCGATGGTCTCTGGCCTTTTATTCACTGGATTTCAATTCTTTCAATCATGGGGGTCAGCATTGTTGATGAAGGCTGGGTGGGGATTAGGGAAGGCAAATAGAAGAAAATTAAAATTCATCTTAAAACTAGTCCCTAAATTGCCTCCCTGGATGTGTGGGAGGAGCCAGAAACACAAAGAACACCGATCACTGCAGGCTTTTTCCGCCTTTCCCCATTCAGTGGGTGTGTTCATGCTAATTAGGTTCCCTGGCTGGGGAAGGGGCATCATCTGACTGCAGTATCACAGACAGTAAAGTGTGCAGAAAGGAGGAAGAAGCAAGTGTGAACACAGGAGGGCCAGGCTGCCTGGACCAGAAAGGTAACTGAAATTCAGCTTCAGGGCCCTTTTACACAAGAAACTGCATGTGAATCACACAGGAATGTTGTGTGGCTCCTGTGCGATTCACATGCAGTTCTGTGCAGTGCATGCACTGCGTTTTGAAACGCACTGCAGCGGAATTGCATGGTACTTTTGTGCAGGAAAACGCACTGCTTTTGCACCGCCGTTACCTTTGTATTGGCACCTACTGCAGGTCGCAAAGGCAGCGCAATCGGAAAGCAGTGCGGGAAACCGCACGGGAATAAGAATTTCCCACACCACATTCCAGTGTGAAAAGGTCCTTAACACTCCGTGCTTACTGGGCTTGAAGAAAACACCAGTTTCCTTGGCAGAAAAAAACGCTAATTGTGAGTGTTGTTTGTTCTAGTGCAGTGGTTCTTAACCTTTTTGGAGGTACTGAACCCCACCAGTTTCATATGCGCATTCACCGAACCCTTCTTAATTGGAAAAATAAAATATGATTTTTAAAATTCAAAACATAGGTATATATTTATACATAGGTGCACAAAATGAACAAAACCATTAAGAACAAAGAACAAAACCATTAAAACATGATTTTCACACAAAAACAAAATAATGAATATTTACCGCAAATCAGTGTGACTTCTGCTGTTGTCTTTCAGAGGCCAGTTCAGAAATGCGCGGCATTACCTTGGCAAGTGCCACTCTCATGTCATTTTCGCAACAAAGTCTGTTCCTTTTCTTCGTCTTTATGTCCAGCATCCTCGCAAAGATATGTTGTAACAAACGGTATGATATAGTAATTCATCCCCCATATAGTAATTCATCCCCCATAGTAATTCATCCCCCATATAGTAATTCATCCCCCATAGTAATTCATCCCCCATATAGTAATTCATCCCCCATATAGTAATTCATCCCCCATAGTAATTCATCCCTCATAGTAATTCATCCCCCATAGTAATTCATCCCCCATATAGTAATTCATCCCCCATATAGTAATTCATCCCCCCATATAGTAATTCATCCCCCATATAGTAATTCATCCCCCATAGTAATTCATTCCCCATATAGTAATTCATCCCCCATATAGTAATTCATCCCCCATATAATTCATCCCCCATATAGTAATTCATCCCCCATATAGTAATTCATCCCCCATATAGTAATTCATCCCCCATATAGTAATTCATCCCCCATATAGTAATTCATCCCCCATATAGTAATTCATCCCCCATATAGTAATTAATCCCCCATATAGTAATTCATCCCCCATAGTAATACATCCCCCATATAGTAATTCATCCCCCATATAGTAATTCATCCCCCATATATAATTCATCCCCCCATATAGTAATTCATCCCCCATATAGTAATTCATCCCCCCTATAGTAATTCCTTCCCCATATAGTAATTCATCCCCCATATAGTAATTCATCCCCCATAGTAATTCATCCCCATATAGTAATTCATCCCCCATAGTAATACATCCCCCATATAGTAATTCATCCCCCATATAGTAATACATCCCCCATATAGTAATACATCCCCCATATAGTAATTCATCCCCCATATAGTAATTCATCCCCCATATAGTAATTCATCCCCCATATAGTAATACATCCCCCATATAGTAATTCATCCCCCATATAGTAATACATCCCCCATATAGTAATTCATCCCCCATATAATAATTCATCCCCATATAGTAATTCATCCCCCATATAGTAATTCATCCCCCTTATAGTAATTCATTCCCCATATTAATTCATCCCCCATATTAAGTCCCCAAGTCCCCCCTGTGTCAATTCACTTACCTTTGCTCCGCGCGTTCCTCTCGCTGTATTCCCGCGCCGTTCCGGTCTTCAGGGCGGACTGTGAGAGGAGCCTAGCTCCTCTCACGTTCGTCACGCTGCCCCGCCTACACACATCCTGACAGCCAATCACTGGCTATCAAGATGTGAGTGGCAGCGAGACTGGCCAATCATTGCATTTGAGTCCCTGCCGCCCGAGAGGAGGGAGGGGAGCGGGCGCGCCGGCACACAAGAGCCGCGGCTTGCCGACCACTGGGCTAAGCGATGTTGCGTGACCACCTGCAGCCAATGATGGACAAGCGGGGCATGTCATCACAAATCATATGAGTCGGGTGTGTGGGTCACCTCCGCCGAACCCCCGAGACTGACTCACCGAACCCCTGGGGTTCGATCGAAACCCAGGTTAAGAACCACTGTTCTAGTGTTTAGGGGTGTTTTGCATTTTTTTTTTCCACCAGAAAACTACTCTCAAAAACACAAAAAAAAAGGGTTTCAATATGTTGGAGGTCCCTACCCTGTCCCAACGCCTAACATCCTAATGTGCATGGACACATAGGGTAACAGTGAGCTGCTTCTACAGGCAAAACACTAAACTCCTATAGAAGCAGTACAAAAGTACCATGCCATCCAGACGCAGTGTGTTTTCAAAAATTGGTGCATGCACTACTTTTGGTTTGGTGCAGTTTCAGCCCATTCAAAATGAATTGGCTGAAATCGCAC